AGATATAATCCTTCATTTCACCAGTGATGGAATAGGCTCAAAAGGATTAAGTGCTTTCTTTACCCAGCGCTCGGGCTGGGGTTTCCAGGGACTCAGGACTTCCCCGGTACACGGGGATGGCTGGTTACTCTTGAGTGTCGCCCAGCTTGCCGACCCACAGCTGGTAGCTAGGAAGTAAGCCCAGCGAGTTCCGAGTGGTCAGGCCGATGGTTCCTATATGGAAACTTGCTGGTTGGCCTCACAGACAGCCCTTCAGAATATTTCAAGGTGCCCATCTTTCTCCCTTTACACACAGTTCTAAGGAGCTTGGTCATGAGGTTTCCAGGTGCCTTGTCCATCGGAAACTGCACACCAGGAGGAGGCAGCGGGGACTCTAGAAAGGCACCCCGGTTTCCACGGTGAGGGATAGCCAACTGACGTGGGCAGAAGGCGTGGGCGGGGAGAATGAAACGTGAACCAGTAGAAGATGAAATCAATAGGTCAGGAGGCACTTATTACAAGCGCAAACATATCTTAATAAGAAGAGCTATTATTGAATATTTATTATGTGCCAAACACTGTTTTAAGTACTTTATAGGTATTAAATTGTTAAATTTAATGAAATAATTCAATTATGACAAAACAATTCTGTGATTGTCCGTTCCACAGATGAGGAAACTGAGGCACAGACAGGTTAAGTAACTTGCTGGAAATCACACAGCCAGTGAGTGGCAAAGCCGAGATGCAAACCAGAGCGCCTGTGTCCAGAGCGCAGTCCTCAACATGCTGCCTCCGTGTGGGTCCTAGATTCCCCGGCACAGCGAGTTAGTGATGTTTGTTGTCGTGTCCTGAATCATCTAAAAAAAAAAAAATAAAGTATAGGCGTTCCATTTTATTTGGTATTATTGAATTGTAAAGATTTTATCAGGTTATACACGGATATAGATCTACAAGGCAAGTTGAAGAAAACCGTCAGAGGCCCCTCCCCCAGCTCACTTCCTGCTCCCCAGTCATCCGCTTTCAATTCTTGTCGTTAGTTGACTCTAGTGGGTAGTTACAACCCTTGTCTCTAAATGACATACTTCTATTGCTGTGGTCGATTTTATTTTGTTTTGGGCATTACCAAGTAACACTTGATTATGGAAGAAGAGAATTTTAGCTTGGTTCTCTGCCTACCCCGACCACCTATGTATACCATTCCCACCCCCTCCTTCTTCCCACAGTACATCACAGTTTTAGTTAGAACCATATGTTGTTGGCTCCTTTTCATCTTCAGGCCTTCAGTCCAGGGTTGGCCAGATTGTCCAGAGAAGATCATTTGCACACCAGTCTGTGGAGAATGCCTGCATTCTGGAAGTCACTGTGTAGGTGGGCGGCTAGGGTCGGGGGGTTTGTGTCTCAATATTTACCGTGCAACTTCTCACTGCATTCCTCTCTCCACGGATGGTTGCCATGCCTCCGAGAGCCTTCGGGAGTCTGACCCTCAGAGTTTTACTCTCTGCAGAGAATAAACCTTCATCCTCTGCCAGAGCTGGAGGAGTCGCAAGGCTGGGGTCTAAGCAGACTTCCCCCATGTTTAGCCCTGACTTTACCCTCCCTCGCCTCCAGAGGTGTTGGGGGCTATGAAGGCCTGAGCCTTCCTGGAGGTTCTGTGATGAGCTGTTTCTTGGCTTTCCTTGCTGGCAGGTCAGGAGTCAGCTTTCCTGGTCCACTAATCGGTTACCTCCTGTCGTCTACTTTCTAGCTTCCAATATTTTATTGCAATTATTTTCACCCACTCTCTTTGTCCTTGCAAGTTTATGTCTAAATGAAATAAAATTCCCTTTATTGTTATAATAATGAGATTTGGCCATCTTTATCCTGAAGTCTGAAGGACATTTTAGAAAGCTTTCCATGTAAAAGACTCAAAAAATGTTTTGTTGCTCTAATAGTTCTGTGGAAAATGGGGTTGCCTAAATTTTACTTGCTATTTAAAGCGTAGTTCTAGGACCAGGAGCATCAGTATTACCTGGGCATCATGTGTGTGTTTGTTACAAATGCAGATTCCTGGGCACCTCCAGTCCTATTGAATCATAATTAGCATTTTAACACAATGCTAATTGTGTTAGGGCTAGGAGAGCCCTATGCATGCTGAAGACTGAGAAGTGCTAATACGAAACCTTATTCCACTTCTGTAATTGGACTAAGCTAGTAATAATAGACTTGAATCTGATACTTAAAGATCTTGGTGCATTCCTGTACTAAATGATCCTCCAAATTCTAGAGATTTCTGTGAGATAATAAAGAGGAGTACATAAATTTTCACGAAAAGGCACCCTTATCCCATTTATACATCTGAGTTGGCAACAGATGTAAACCCAAAGTTTGGTGTTATCACGGGAGATGTCAGAGTGGTTATGTTCTGACTTTTTTAGCTGCCCACAGTTCTTTGGGTTGGTGATGGTGCCACAGAACAGCCCGTGCTGCTGCAGAAGTCGGTGAGGTTCTGCTGCGAGTCGGCAGTCTGGTGGAAAAGGAAAAGGCCTTGCTTGTTTAAAGGCTGTGCAGGTTCCAAGGAAAAGGACACTGGCAGGTTTCTCCCTGAGAGCCCCGCTAGCTTTAAAACACCCCAAAACTCAGAATCCTTCTGCCTGGCCAGTTTGAAAAAGTGCGTGAAATCCCCTTTCCTATATTAAAGTACCGAGCTTTAGACTGGTCTGGTGTGGCTCAGTGGATTGAGTGCTGGCCTGTGGGCCGAAAGGTCACCTGTTCAATTCCCAGTCAGGGCACATGCCTGGGTGGGGGCCAGGTCCTTAGCTGGGGGCGTGGGAGAAGCAAACAATTGATCATTCTCTCCCTCCTTTCCCCTCTCTCTAGAAATAAACAGATAAAATATAATAAAGTACCATCCTTTGGAGAATGCAGGTGTCTGCAGCATGATCCTTCAGGCAGCTTAGCCGGTTCCCACTTGGGCCCCCTGAGTCTCTCACAAGCCTGTGTGCGCTGCCAGAGCCCCGGCATCCACCACCTGAGGAACTCAGACCTGCTGTGACCCCCTGGGATGGCCATTTGTTTCCCTGTGCATTGCATTTTAAGGACTGGGCCCAGAAATCCATGCAGGACTGACTGACTTTTTCACTGATGTGTACCAACGTCTGCTGTTGTTGTCATTTCCCCAGTGTCTTTGACTCTTCCAGCCCAGTTCTGCTTGAGGGGGTAAAGTTCCTAGCCACGTGCAAGGACTCACAACCCTCTCAGTCCGAGGTGGGGCCGCGGGCCCTCACAGCTCACACAGGCTCTGTACAAGCTTCTGCAGGCTTGGTCACAAGCTACTCGACTGCCAGGGCAACACATGTCCACACAGTTGCATTGCCTTTGTTTACAGTAGCCTCCTCCAGGGTGTGGGATGGCTGTGATGTGGTTTTGGTCGTGCTTCCTGCAAACTTTCAGCCTGTGAGGGTGCGTTCTGGCTCTTGGGTTCTCGACCCTGTTCCTGAGCAATCAGGCCTGACCCCCTGGACTTTGTAAGTTGGATAGGTTGAGTCTCCAGTGACACTTTGCACTGCTAAAGCCAGAGGGTGGCAGAGGAAAGAGTCATTAGTTTTATGTCCAGCATCTCTCTCAGTGACAGGAAAAGGTTCAATAAGTGATTATGAAATGAGTAAATCAAATGAGACAATTTCTGTGTTCAAGGCATCACCAATCAACAAGAAATAAATCAATAAGTATCGCATGGGGCTGACCAGTTCAAGGAAAGAGCAGTACAGAGAAGGGGTATCCAACTCAGCATTGCTCCTTGGAGGAAAGAGCCAAAGAGCTACGTCTCCCTGGGAACAGAGCTTGGTGGGCTCAGAGCAGTGGCTTTCAGTTCAGCGGGTGTCAGAATCACCCGGCAGTCTCAAAACGGACTGCCTCATCCTTCCTTAGAATCTCTGATTCAGTAGGCCTGGGATGGGTCCCAGAATGTGCATTTCTAACAATTTTCCAGGTGATGATGTTGAGTTCACATTTTGCAAACCACTGGTTTAGAGAATTACCAATAGTTCCGGTGGCTGGAGGCAGGATGCCGGGAGTGGCAGGCCCCTGAAGTCAGAAGCCGGAGGAGCGGGGATTTCATTGCAGAGGCGGTGGGGAGTCTCTGGCAGGTTTTACAGAGGGAGCGATGGAGCCCCGTTTGCCTTTTGGAAAGATTACTTTGGGCGACTGTGGAGGATAGATTAGTGGTGGTACCAGGTTGTGGGCCAGAAAACCAAACAAATGGTTAATTTTAGCCCTTCAGATGAGCAATACAAGCTCGGAATAACAGGGAGAGAAGGAAAGAGCCCCAGAATGTGGGGACCAATTGGAAGTGGGTGAGAAAGAGAGGGAGGGGCCACTGAGGACCATCAGATTTCTGGCGGGGTGTGTGTTGGGACTGTGCTACTGAACACAGAGAGAGAAGGGGGTCTGAAGCAGGGTTGGGGGAAAAGAGCAAAGGAGGTCAGCTGAGGGCAAGACATGTTGAATGTGAGATGCCAAGGTGGACCTTAGCAGTAGACAGTTTTACTCACGGATCTGGAGTGAGATTCTAGTAAGCCATCCCGCCCCTCTCCCTCCACCACTTCCATTTATCTCCTTTATTATTTGTTTAGATCAAGCATTGTATTTGTAAAGAAACAATATTAGTGTAACCTTGGAGGGGCTTGAGGACAGGATACTTTGAAAGATGTTTTCTCAAGAACACAAATGTTTGACTTTATTGATTACGGGAAAAGGAAGAGTTGAAGTATGTGCTGGTCTTCTAAACACAGAAGAGGTTAATACAGCCACTCTCTCTGTCCGAGAGGCCCGTCAGATTAGCTTTTAGTCAGCTCAAAAGGGTGAAACCACTTGACTTGGCCTGCAGACCATATGACGAACAGCTGAGACTAATTAGCTGGATTGTGGGTTTTTGCAGAGATGCCTGATTTTGAAAGTGGATGGGGCAAACTGCTTTTCAAAAGACTCTTTTGAAAAACTTTGGAAGTAGGTGATTCTGACTTGAACATTTCTCTCTGTATTAGACAAAAGTAAGCTTTCTGAAGAGGACATGTGATTGGAAGTTGTCTAATTGTTGAAGTGTTGCGAACTCCAGTCCCTAAAGTCTTAGGAAAAACAACCAAGGATTTATACTTTGTCAAGGTATGGTTTTACATTTATCTTTTTTTTAGTGGTTTTGAGTTCTGCCATGTCGATTTTGAGGTACTTAAATTGTATGCAGTTTAACATAGAATACCACTGCACATTCTAATGTTTTTTAAATCACAGGCTTCAAGACGTCTGCTAAACTTGTTTAGTTTGAGACATGTATTTTCAATGACAAGAGAGTGGGCATGAATACCGACTGCGTTTTTCCTTTCTTTTAGGAACTTTAATAAAGTAGTAGGTTTTTATTCTCAGGTAATATGTTGATTAAGAGAGCTGACTAAAGAATTAAATAGCTCTACGAGTCTTATTCATCCTCTGAGGATTTTATTCACAATTCAAACTTATTGGGATATTGTTTCTAATATTGTTAATAGCTTTAATGGAGAAAAGCTTTATGTTAAGTGTGTGTTTTGATATAGAGCATATTTTATAAGGTGTATTTTTCCTATGAATTAAATTTGCCATCAAATTATTAATATTGATAGATTTGGTAATGGCACTGTGGTTATGTATGGAGTCTGCATATTCGGGGGATAATTAGTATGCAGTAATGAGAGATCTGGGTGAGGAGTATGACGGCACACTCTGCTGCACAGTCCTCTCTACTTTTGGGGTGATTATATTGCGCGTTTGCTAGGGCTGCCATTACAGAGTGCTGGGAACTAGGTAGCTGAAACAATAGACGTTTATTGCCTCACAGTTCTGGAGGCTAATAATCTGAAATCAAGGTTTAGGTAGGTTGGGCTCCTTCTGAGAGCTGTGAAGAAAGAATCTGTTCCAGGCCTTTCTCCTCGGCTTGTTGATGGCTGTCATCTCCCTGTGTCTCTTCTTGTCATTTTCCGGTTATGCATGTCTGTGTCCAGATTTCTTCTTCTGAGAACACCAGTTATACTGGATTGGGGTCCACTCGGTTATCTCTCTAAAGGCCTTATCTACAAATAAGGCCACATTCTGAAGTACTAGGAGTTTGGACTTTTACATACAATTTGGGGGCAGTGCAGTTCAACTCATAACAGATAAGGTGGAAAGATTTCATAATAACACATCTTAAAGATTTGCCTGCGAGGTCATTCAATAATCATTTGTTAAGCTGAGAACCTAGACTGTGCTGGGTGTTGAGTGCAGACAAATGAGACATGGTCTCTGCCCACTAACACTGGTTTAATCAAATGTATGGATGTAACTTTCATTTTTTTTAAATTTATTTATTTTTTATTGATTATGCCATTACAGTTCTATTCCCCCCGTCATTCCCCTCCACCCTACCTCTGTCCCCATTACCCCCCCTTTAGTTTATGACCATGTGTCTCAAGTTCTTTAGATTCTATATTTCCCATACTATTCTTGCCCCCCATCTATTTTCTATCTACTGTCTATGCTACTTATTTTCTGTACCTTCTCCCCCCTTCTCCTCCTCCCACTCCCCTGATGCTAACCCTCCTTGAAATCTTCATTTCTATGTTTCCAAGGATGTAACTCTCTGTGCATATGTTTTCTTATCTCAGCCACTGAGCCATGGCCACTTTCACCGTTGGGGTCCTTGGGGCACAATCAGAGTCCTGGCACATGGGCAGCCCAGTATCTTTTGAGAGGCACCTGGAAGGGCTCCTTTACACCCGAGTACCCTCACGATAGGCTGGGAGAGTGGAAGGACCCTTAACATTCATCTAGTAAGACCACCTCAGTTCACAGATGAAGAAATTGAAGCTCAGAAGTGTAAGGTCATTTGTCTGATTAGTGTCAGAGCCAAGGCAGTGCTTGACTTCCACTTGGTGTGCAGACCAATATCTCATTTTGTTTTCTTTGCCACAGATTCATGCTTTTCATGTAGGACTGAACCCAGAATCCCATTATGGGAAATCACCATGGCAAATAGCCTTGATAAAAAGCTGACTTTCTCTGTCAAAATTCTTGGATAATAGGTACCGAAAAAAAGTTTGGAGTGTTTATTCACAAGGGTGTTTCATCCCTAAACAAAGGGGTTTAGTCTCATCTTGGCTGCTTTTTCTCTGTGCCTTACATTTTTACCTTGTTCTTTCCAGACACAGTATTCAGTGGCCCAGCAGCCATTAGAATACAAACAACAGTTTTTCTTCTTTCTTGCTGCTGCCCACAAGACAGGAACTGTGGCAGAAAGAGAATGCTGATGAAACCTTGCCAACCAACAGGATGGCGCCATGGCAACCAGGACCTGCGCGTGTTGGCAGGTCTCAGAGCCCAGGGCTGCCTCTGCTTCTGCCCTCTCCAGACCCTCACTCGGTTCCTGAGTGCGCAAAGAGGAAATGCTCACCACTTCCCCTTGTTTCTGTTTTCCCTTTTTAGGATTAAAGCTTCCTGATACATCTGCCCATCTTTTGCTATTATTATTTCCTCTTTCTTCCCTCTGAACTTGGTTGATTCAGAGTTGGAGCTCAGGGGATGGCATACGTGGTAGATGATGAGTCATATAATATGCCCATTTAAAACCAAAGCTGATTTTTGCAGAAGCCATCGTTTTTTTGTGCTTTCTCGATATAGGACGGCTTCCTGCTTTCTTCTGCGTTTCTGATGCTGCTGTGTCTGGGCGGGGCTCCTGCCCTCTGCGCAGAGCAGAGGCTGGATTCTGCAGGGGTTGGAAGGTGGGGGGATAAAGAATGAGATGAGGGTGCTGCCTGAGAGGTGAGCTTGCATTGCTGCTGCTTCTCTAGAGGCAGGAGCCGCTTGGCTCAAACAAAAGCTGAGAGCATCAATTTTTGTTTTCCCCATTTCATACTTGATTAGGCTTCTCTGCTCCCTGATGTAATCTGCACAGGGACCCTTTAGCCATGAGTGCTGGATTCGTCATTCAGCAATATTAAATGGGCCCACTGTTTCACAAGAAGAAAGTCCAGATTGTTTTAAGCTCACACCTGTGTGTTGTGGTGACTGACCCAGCTTAGGGACTATCATTTAAAAAATCTTCTTCCTAAATGTCCTTTTTGGATCCCTCTTACTGATCCTTCCCTCTTGGCCCTCTCTTCAGTCTAATTGTCCATCTTTCCCTTGGCCCCAAGAAGTCAACTGTGTTGGATGACTCTAAAATCCATATTGTTAACTCTTATTTTTCTTTTGAGCTCTACTTCAGTTTTCCAAATGCCAGGCAAACACAACTCCTTGCATGTCCCTCAGATATGAGGGACATTTAATTGGTCATGATCCAGACAGTATAATGTAGGTGAGAGTATATCTGGGCTCAGATTTTGGCTTTTACTGGTTGTGTGACCTTGGAAAACTTAACCTTTCTGTTCATTAGTTTTTCTCATGTGTAAATTAGAGAGTTCACAGGGTTGTTGTAAGGATTAAACTTGTTAGTATTTTAAAGGGCTTAGACAAGTGCTCAGTGAGCATTAGTTATAATCATCTCAAATCATCTTTTCCTCTTACTTAATGATAATACCATTCATTCAGTTACTAAGCTAAAAATTATGGTTTTCTTTAATGCTTATACCAGTCAGTTAAGAAGTGATACTGATTTTTCTTTCTCCTAAATATATCTTGAATTAATCCCTTCCTCTTTATCCTCACCATCATCCCCACCGACACACTCCACCATTCCACGTAGTCTCCCGATCCTCTGAGTATTCCCAGTCTCCATGTGGCTGCCACAAAGATCTTTCTAAGGCACAAACCTCATGTTCCTTGCCTTCACAAAAGCCTGCAGTGGCCTCCCTTTCCCAGATGATGACACACAAACGTGTCAGTGCCACATAAGAGCCCTTACAGGCTGAGGTTCCAAATTCCCATCTTTTCAGCCTCCGTCTGGACAAGTACCCATTAGCCACATCTATCCGCCAAGTCCCCTAAATGCATCATAAGCTCTTCTGTCCTAGTCAGTCACCCCAGTACTTTCTCCCTTCTCATGGCTCTAAGCCTGGCCTGTGTTTTGTACTTGAATGTGAGACAATCCTTACTTAATTCCATCAAAAATCAGTACGTCTTTTATGGGGCTGGTATCAATCCATTTTGTTGACAGTGTCTATTCTCTTCAAAGGATAATGCTTATTCGACATATGATGTGAAGTCCTTTACCAGGTCAAGCTGTGAATTATTCAGCACTTTTGGCAGTCCTAACTAGCACAATAAGACAAGAAATAAAAAAGGTATAGAGAGTAGAAAGGAAAAACAAAATGGAATATTTTTAGCTGTCTAACAAATTATTAGAATTAATATAGCTAAGTAATAAACAGAATGTATGTATGTGTATATAGATATATATCACTCACAATAGTGACAGCAAATAAAGTATCAATAAGTCTAAGGATCTTTATGAAGAGAATTTACTTATTGGCAACATTTTTAAGGCATTTAAAATATATAAATATATGGACATGGATAGGTAAATTCAATATCATGAGTATGTCAATCTTCTCAATTTCATCTATAGATCAGCGTAATCCCAATCAAAATCCTTTTATGGGCCCTGGCTGGTGTAGCTCAGTGGATTGAGCGTGGGCCTGCAAACCAAAGGATTGTGGTTCAATTCCCAGTTGGGGCACATGTCTGGGTTGCAGGCCAATTCCCAGCAGCGGACGCACGAGAGGCAACCATACATTGATGTTTCTCTCCCTCTCTCCTTTCCTTCCCCTCTAAAGATAAATAAATAATTAAAAAAATCTTTTTATGGTTTCTGAGGAACTAAGATGGAAGTGTGAAAGGTAAAGTTGTCCATAGTAAAGTGGAGGGGACTGTTCCTCACAGATATAAAGTTGTATTGTAAAGTCATAGTAATTAAGGTCTTGTGACATTGGCCCAGGTGTAGTGAAAATGGCCAAAGGGACAGAACAGAGAGAGCCTTTAAACTGATCTCATATATGCTGACTCACTAGGGAAAGGATAATTTTTTTCAATAAATGGTGCTATGACAATTAGGTATCCTTCTGAGAAAAACAGAGAAAGTGGATCCTTCATATACCTTAACAAATCACCATATTTTTTGAACCATAAGGTTCTTAGAGGAGGAAAATAGAAAAAGAAAT